CCCCAAAACCCCAAAACCCCAAAACCCCAAAACCCCGTGAATGCATAATAAAATTTAAATTGAGAACAAAAGTTATTTAATGTATACGTTAAAATCAAATGACTTTCGCAATTAATTTTTAAAATACAAATATGAAATAAAGAGCTCCCCTCGTAACAAACACTCAAGTGTAAAATAAATATAATCAAAACCTAAAAAAGCCAGGGAAATCTACTCAACCTAACACCTCTAGAAAAAACATCAACTAGTTAACAACCAAGTCACAGACAACTAATGCCACTAGCAATGGTGTTTCTAGCTTTTTATCAAATAAAGAGAATAGATGCGAAGTATAAGCAAAACCATTAGAGCAAATATAAAATCAACAACAGAATTCTACAAGAAACGACCCTAAAGAAAATCCAATGCCTACGAATTTTAGCAATATGAGAACTAACAATTACATGTCAAGTCCCAGTGTGTGCCCGAGCAGCCTGAGCACTCACGAAAAGAATTTTTTCTCAGGTCATAAATCTTCGATGCTGATCAACCCAGTTACTGTTAATTCGCATGTATCAGACTTTAAATAGCAATTCATGAATACAATTGACGATAATAGAGGCACCTATGTAAACCAATTCCCTCATCTATCCGAAGAAGACTTCAAGATTAAGATACTAACTATTGAAGAAGCTAACTCCATTGATGAGGACACAAGCAGTATGAGAGGGCCTATCTAGCTACCTTAGACCCAATTTCAAAATGTCTTTTAAATTCGCAAAGATTCTAGACTTGAGTCTAGCCAGATGATTACTGGGATAACTGGTAGAGATAGTGAGAAAGAAGACAAACTCAAGGGCTTAGATACCCTAGATAAGGCACTGACTCAGGGCTAGTGGATATCTAGCACTCAAGCTTGCACTCTTTAAATGGGCTAAGAGACTTCAAGGAATGTCTACACTCATTAAAATAAACAAATTATGACAACTAGAGCAGGTCCATTTGAAATGGTTTAGTGCCCCTCTCCACAGAGTAAATCAGCACAATTTCACAAAATAGAGAATAAGATACTGATCACTCAAATTGAAGAAGGTGATGATTGTGAAGATGATTGCTCAAGAGTTATCACACAGGGTATTAGGTAATCCTTGAACTCTACACTCCAAATTAATACAAGGTCAAGCAATCAGCAAAGTAGAGGAACTCATGGTCCTCACATTAACGAGTAAAATCCATTCTAACCTCATAAAACAACTTTTGAAAGTAACATGACTTCAACTGAGAATTAATGCAGCTGTATCACCTCTTTAGAAGGTCAATCAAATTAAACCTGTAGTTAATGCAATTGCCACACTGGAAACTCCCATCCAAACAAATCTAGATTTGTTATCAATCTCGAAGCTGTTCTGCATCAGGAAGTCAAACTGTGGTCTATTATCCTCTCATTAGAAGACTTTGGTCCTCATAATATGAATACCAAAAACGAACTAATGATTCTCTGCGAAGAATGGTGGGAGGTCACCAAAGACTCTTAATGTCTCTTTGATATCTATAAAATATACAAAGATCCTATAACTAGAAAAACCATCAGAAAAGCTCTAGTAATGGAATGCATAATAGTAGTTCTTACTGCATCTATTGTTTAAAATAGAAACATTGAATTATCTAAGAGCATCGTTAAAATATTGATTAAGCTGTTCAGATATGCTCATCAAAGCTTTGTACATCTCATCTGCTATGTACTACACAGAATGGGATTGGAGACTATAAATTAAAATGTATGGTCTGATGCACTTAAGGACATTGTTTTCAGCAAGGCTAGATCAAACGGGCATAGAGTGCTAATGATGTCAGATGAAAATAGAAACATAGAAATAAACAAACTTAATGATAAGATATTCAAAGGCTTGAGATCGGTATCTCTTAGGCTGAATGACTAACTTCAGGTACTATTCAGCTAAGTTGGCACTATCATCCTTGACATTGAAAAAATACACATTAATCGTGTGAAAGACATGCTAATCAGAGCTCTGAACCAAGAAGCTATGATTACTTTGCAATAAGAATAAGAATAGTAGCAATTTCAAAATCTATCTGATCCTAGAATAATATCCCATCCCTAAAAAAATTATCAGTAAAACATGATGAACAGCAATATACCATATCTTCAAGTAGCAATTGAAAATGGAGTATAAATCTAATATGAACAATTGAATGAGAACAGCGATGATTCACTACAGTTACCATAAGTGATTCCACCCTTCCTACCACCACTTACTCATCGCAGATATACTTTAGTCCTAGATTTGGATGAAACTCTGATACATTACATTGAGACTGCTAATGAGCCTAATACCAGATACACTTATAATCAGTCATAAATAGGAAATTATTTGACCCGTCCTGGAGCCTAAGCCTTTATCAAAGAGATGTCTAAGTACTACGAAATAGTGATATTCACTGCTGGTATGCAAGATGTAAGTTTCCCGATTAAATTATATATTTTTATAGTATGCTGACTGGGTATTGGATAATCTTGACTCTGAGGGCTATATTTCTCATAGACTATATAGACAGCACACATAGTAAAGAAGTCATGTATTCATAAAGGTAAGTCAGCTCTCTTAATTCTTAATCTATCTAAATAGGATCTATCAAGGATTGGTAGAGATCTTTCGAAGACATTAATCGTAGATAATATGAGTGAGAACTTCCAACTCTAGGCTGACAACGGTATTTTCATAAAATCTTGGTATGACGACCCAGAAGATGATGCCCTCTTTGACTTGGGGCAGCTGCTAAGGCAAATAGTGGTGAAATAAGTAACTGATGTGCGTGTGGCACTTAGAATATTCAGAATGCAAATGAATCAGCAATTGTAAATGGGGGTTGAGAAGCCTACTCTCGACCTAGATGCTGCAGATCAAATTTTTTGAAAATATAGTTATTGCTAATTAGATAAGCTTGAATGTCCGATATTAAAATATAAATATATATATAATTGATTTAAGATGTGCAATTTCGATTATAACTGATTCATGGGGTTTTGGGGTTTTGGGGTTTTGGGG